CCGGGACTCTCGCAGAGTCGCAGGATCCATTAGTTTGGGAAAAACTTTTCGAGATCACCGAGTCCAACCTTCAAGCCCTCCAATTCCCACAATGGGGCACGGCCTCCGTCACGCGCTGGGGGAGATCTGCCCTGCCGCCGTTCTTTTCCACTGAAATATCACAGCGGCAATCGACCGAAATGAAAAGTTTAGAAGGGCCTTTTTCTGTTACCGATCTCTAAATTTTATCCAAGGAAAAGAAAGCATTGCACAGAGTCAATGGCAACCGGGAGGTGCAGGGATTTGTGGGGGACTGGCGTCTCCACAGGAGCGGCTGCTTTTTTGCCCTCCCAAACGTCAGTATCCTACACGAGCTAACCTTATTAAATCAGGGTAAAATGCTACCTGGAATGTACAGGAAGGTACTCATTAACTTGCAGAAATCACCGCTGTTTCCAKCACTGGAATCTTAATTCAGTGCAAAGTACATGGATGGAAAGCTGAGGTGGGGAAGGAGGATTTCGGCATCCCAACTTCAGCTTGACAGATGAAATGGCCTCATTATGCCATCCACGTCGCCAGACAAGACCACTGTGGTGTTATTGTTATTCTCCATCCTGATTCTTCTGTGGTTCTAGCGTGAGAAATAAAAATCTATCCAAATATTACTAYCTCTTCACCACCCTGTTCATCTCACCGAAATGCTTTGTTTTAATGTATACATAAATGTACCATGACAAAAGCTTCCTTCTAGCTCTTCCTTGTGTGCCCTGTGGCATAGACATCCTAGTCCTACCTGTAATCCTCCATTTTGGCACGCTTGCCTTTTTGCTGGGCTGTATTTGCTTTGCTTTGATGGTCATCTTCTCTTAGTAGTGTTCAAGAAATCCTTCTCRTCCTCCCGTGCATGATTCGGCTACAGTTTGACTGTCAGTCTTCCAGATTCTGAGGGAAGTTTTGTCAAAGWGGCTGTTATTCTCAAAGGACAGGCAGAGGGGAGTTTTATGCAGCCAAGAAGAAAGATATGTTACTTTCCAGTGGCTGTGGTTCCTGGATATGTTCTGGGTTTGGTTTTTTTTTTCAGATACTTGCAGTTACAGTGTGGAGGTTTGCAGAATAAAGTTGAGCCAGACTTGTTTTTACTGAAGCAGTACCCAGAGAGGGCACACATGCTCCACCTTCCACCCACTGTGCACGTACTCACAGGATAGCAAAGCTCTGTGGGGAGGCTGAACAGCAGAGGTACCAAAGAAAAAACAGCTGAAAAAAGGAAGGAAAGAAGGAAAGAAGGGAGGAAGGAAGGAAGGAAGGAAGGAAGGGAAATAGGCAGCAATTGTGAATGATGGTTATTAAAGCTTAGTGAACTGCAGTTAGTAGTAGTAATTTTTTTTTTTCTGAAACCCAGTCCATAAATGCTGGGTGATTCCAATACCTCTCTCTGTCACAGACTTGCTGGCAATGTGCAACTGGTTTGTTTTTTTTTTTTCAAAATAAAGACTTCTGGAGTGCATTTACTAGGTGAAGAAAAAGGAATCAGTGGGAAAAGTCAGTGGTTTCTTCAAGGGGAAGATCCAGCTTCATTTTTAGGGGACATGTCAAGGAGCCCAGAGAGTATCAGAGTATCCTTCTTCACATTAAGTCAGGATGGAAGAGAGGAGAGAGCTGGCTGATGAAGGAGTGATGCTGAAGCAGCTGGTTCCAGCAGACTCTCCAGTAACTACTGGAAAAGAACTCCAATGTCCAAGGTTCTGCAGAGACCTTGATATACCTTGTAACTCTCAGAGACACTGTAAACATCTCTAGTACRACAGCTGGAAGRTTCTACTAGGCTATGAAAAGATTAATTGTGCAAATCATACAGGCTGTAGGAAAAAAACCCAGGGAATTTCATGTGTTTTGAGAGAAGTTATACTGTAGGTTTACAGCTGTGGCTAAGCTGACCTCTTCAGATGAGAAAAGGAGTAAGTGATAAATACACTGGTATCTCATTCAGATTTTTTTTTTCTGTTTTCTCTAAGGTTCTGCAAAATATCAGTGTTGCAATCCCAGGGATGCTGAACAGCTAGAAGCAGTCACATAATCAAGAAATCCCCTAACTTAGGAAAGAAAGAACTGACTACTTTAGAGTGACTTTGAAACACCARTGGCAGCCATCTAAGTCCTCAAGGTTACCTTTTGATTTTCTATTTGCATTCCCTGTGTGTTTCTGTGAAACACAGAGCACGAATAGTGGGAGGAAACCAAAGAAACATCAGCACTCAGTAGAGCAGCATCTCGTCAAGGGAGATGACAAACCCTGTTTGCACACTGCTGCATAGCCTGGAGGGAAGAACTCGAACTGATAGCTAGGCACAAAGTTTTCAGGTAGTTAAAACAAGGCTGCTTTCATTTTCTTTCATCCRTGATCTCCTCAAGGAGTTCTCCGGGAGAGCACAAACCTCCTCACTTTGAAAAATAAAATATCYTTGTACTAAGGCTTATTCTCCCAGATCTTATTGCTTTGGGTACTCTTTGTTTAACTTTATGGAATAAATGAGTTCTATCACTCGTCTTTCAGCTGTATCTAACAAGTGTGATCTCAATGTAAACCAGATACATGTGAAAGACATTAAAACTGCATCGGGAGGCAGTAATTGCATTATCAAGGCCGAGAGGCATGCTTATGCAGCAGCTGCTTCCCCAAAATGTGTGCTGAAGAGTTTGGGAATGAGAATCCCATTATCCCTGCAATGATTGCTGTCAGCTGGACACCTCAAAACACCTGAGGACTTGCACCTCTCCACCACCACGGCAGCAACGAGGGACATCAGGGCCAGTATTTGTCTCAGTGGTGTCACATCTTTATTTCCTCCATGTCTAAGTGTGTTGCTCAGTACTGGATGCTTCAAATATTTGTTATCACTGGAGGACACTACARCTTCTTACTGGCTTGTAGAGCTGAGAGGCCGATAAGGAAGGTAGCCAGGCTGCAGGGTTGCACTGGGAATGGTGGCCTCCCAGCAGAGGTTCTCAGACATCCTCACTTTGCAATCTTACATCGTCACAGCAAAGCTTAGAGACAGCCAGCCCATGCACTTATTCTGGAACATTTTTCTTGAAAGACTCACTGGACAAAAKAAAAGCCATTGATGAAATGTTCATTAAAACATAAAGCTCTGTCAACATAGAAAAATTTAGCTGATACCACTACACACCGAGAAATAGATCTGTATAAGCCATTATGCAGATTTAGGGAAAAAAATATTTCTGAGTGGTTTAAATGTTACTTCTGCATAATCAAACTGAGACACACAATGATCTTTTTTATATTGTACACATGCTTCTGCATGTAAATTAATTTAAAGAGTAAGAGGAAAAAAAAATAAAGCTAAACCAAAAATACTTTTAAAACCTGATTTTCACACCCATGCTGAAGTTAATCAACTCCCTCTATTTATACCTGACTTCTCTTTGAGACACCCATTTTTCCAGCTTATTTGAACATACTTGCAGGAATGCTGCATAATGGATGAAGCTTCCAGCCTTTGGAATCTTCCTGCATCCAACCTGTCTGGCTATGATGCACTTACAGATGCTTCATTTTAAGCACCGTGGAGCTCCATGCCCAGGTCTTATGTGTCCATTTTATGGCAGATCAGCACCTGGAGAAAGGCTTTTGGAACTGACTCCATGTCACTTCTTCACATGCACTGTAAGCATGCTGACAGCAGTGTGTATGGGAAAACAGCACCAAGACTTCCAGATGTAAAATCCTGAACATGTGTGGTTTCTGGGAGATGGTTCTTGGGAAAAGCCCAGTCCTGCTGCTGCCTGAAACACATCAACACCTGAAGGGGAGAAGAAACAACAAAAACACTCACGGCAGCCATTTCCTAGGCTAGAAAACAATGGAATTTTTATTGAACAGAGATGGCTCATAAATACACTCAAAGGAGTTCCACCTGCTGTTCAGCAATATTSATTGCTATCTGATAATAACCTATGGGGGCAGCTGTATAAAACAGGAATAAAATACCAAATTGCTATATTCATTAATAACTTTGCCTTCCAAATACAGAACCGTTAAGTATTTCAAGTCTGAAAATAGACCACAATTGTTAGCATTTAAACCAAACCTTTATGATAACAAATATACAAAAAAAGGCAGTCAATATATTAAACATTTAAATCAATAGCATACATTTATCAGAGGTAAACATTGAGCAAACAAAGCCACCAATGATGTTCAGGAATCTGGTAAAAGGTTCAAGGTCAAGCTCCAAACACTGCAGCTTTTCTAAAGCCGTACTGGTATTACACTTTTGTCTAGCCCCTACATTGAAAACTATGTAGCATGAACATTTGAAAATCTAACATTGGCAATCCGGCAGGGAACTGGGAGTTCCTTAAGTCCYCCTGGTATTTATATTGGAGCACCTGCGGAGACGGAGGGCAGTAGGAGTTAAGCACTTTGTTTTGCAACGTTGGGGTTTGAGTTCTGTTCTAGATGAGCACGACAGTGTCCTCATACCAAACACGGATTCCAGCACTGACAAGAGAGACAGTTTGGCCTGACAAACTGCATGAAGAATCAGCCTTGCAACTTGCATTAAACAGAATGGGACTCACACAC